AATTAAGGGGCAGAACCAGTCATTTGGGCCAATTAGAAACGGACCTGGAGGCTGAAGGCGAACCAACGCTAGCTCAATTAGTGAACCAGACCAGTTGGCTGAATCAGTTACGATCTGACTGCCCTGTACCACTTTAATAAATCAATCGTATCTTTGTGTAAAAAACTTGAAATTAAGTGTTGTTTGCTGCGTTAAAAACTAGGATCAAAGGATTTCTAAGCACGTATAAAGATCTTAACCTAGTTCTATACCTACATGAATTGGTGAAGCTTTAAAATTGATCCTTGTGCTCTAACGAAAAGAAGCAGGATATTTATTATAGGTTATTACTTAGGACTAGTGCTTGGGGTCCTTATTATGATAATTTATATGGATAAAAGTCTTTAAGATTTAATTAAGTACCTTGTTATGTGTAGGTGATTTCTATTTGGACTATTTGAGATTGAACTGGATGCTAGCTCACTTCGTGAAGGTAAGTAGTGTATGCATTTTTAATCTTTTTTTTAAAAAAAATTTCAACCTCTTATGACTTTAAAAGCTATTTTTTATATTAAAATGGCACGAGCATATGTATATTATTGATGTATTATAAATGCAAAAAATTGTTATTGAAATGAGAATGATGGATACTACATCATTGAATTCTTGTGTAATGTTACTTTTGACGGGACTAATTGCCTATATATATGGTAGTTAGCATTGATGAAATGGGTGTTATGACCGGCTAACTGTGTGACAGTTAGCATTATTAGAAGGCTAACTATGACATAGTTAGCATCTTGAACTGTGTTAATCGGTCAATTAATAATTGTATATCCTAGGTCAATGATCAACTTTATACGTTGAACTCTCGTGTGATTGTAAGCATTGTAATTGATATTGTGCTATTAAATTGCTTACATTGACCACACTTTGTGAAGTTATGTGTAGGTATCAATGAATCTTTGAATTGTGTTATGTATATAAACGTGTTCAGACCAACATTTATTAATATTTGGCAGAGATTATATCTTTTTTTTTTTTTGTCATTTGTCATCATCTACATCTATACCTACTTCTAGTCCTAATTTAGCCTATACTAGAGAGGTGACCCAATAGAGTCAAGCGAAACCGACGAGGGTTAAACCATCATCGGACCATACGGGTGCACAGCACTCATATGAATCTTAAGTAAAGCCTAAGTGGCTTTGAAGCGGGCAAATGTGAAGAATGGGGATGGCTAGAGTTTGGTTGATATCGAAAAAGAGGAAGCTTGCATTTTTATTATTGAGCTCCTAGTTTTATAAGTCAGCTCCATGAATTTCTGTCTAATGTGATAATTGTCTGCACCAGTAAAGTACTTTACGGGCATTTTCTTTGAACATTAGAAGCTCCATGTTCCTCAAACCTGTTAATCGAGAGATAAAACAGACTGAAAATGGGGAGAAAAAATGGAGAAAAGTTGAATATTGAAAGGTAGAGTGGATGTAAAAGCTTACTCAGATTTTGAAAACCACATTTGCTGAAAGGAACCAAGTGACGCCAATATACTCCCACCTATCCAAACAGTGAATACGACAAGTTAGTCAACGCGCAGCATACTGAGATACATCTAAAGCAATGTAGCTTCTAAATGCAAAGAAATGTCCACTTCAATCATAAAGCAGAAGCAAATTGGTCTAAACATGCAACTTTGGAGGAAGCGCCGAGGCACATCTAGACTATATTGTAAGTAAACATATCAAATGCTGTAAATTTTTGTATTTGGAGAAATCCAGCAATTTGCTGACTATAACAAAGTTAATTCTCCTAAAACATCATTTAAATGTTACACGCAAAATTATTGCATAAATTTGCCCTGTAAATTGTATTCTTCCCCATTCAAATTCTCTTACCTTTCATTTTTAAACATCCCCAAATAAAAATTCAGAAAAAATCAAAGCATATAGTTTTGAGAGGGCTTTCGACTTTCTGAGAAACTGATGGATCATTTCTCAAGTAGGAGAAGAAAAGCTCATGAAGAATATATATGCAATTAGCACAAAGAAATTAGTCTGAAATGAAGATCATAACAAGGTGAATGTAAAGAGATGTAGAGTGACAACTAGATACCATTTTCAAATAGAAACTCAACTTTTTCTGGAGAACCACGTAATCTCCTTGCAGTAATTTGCAAAAGAGCACCATCTATAAGCATGTGTTGTACCACTCTTACAATATTTTTGGTATCATCAATTCCAAGATGGTGACTTCCTAGTAGCGGAATTTGGAGTTCCCTCATCATTGAACCATTCCTGGAGCCTGACAATCAAAAAGTTTATCACTACAATCTGAGAAGTTTAACACAACTTGGTCTAATCGACAGCAGCTGCAAACGAGCATTGGGCTGAAATGAAACACTCTATAAAATGCATAAACTCACAGACCAATCTCACACTAATGCAACGTACTCTGAAAGTAGATTGTACAGTAACATGGCGGTCACACAACTAAATCATGCCAACCTATGGTTCACAGAGTGTAATCAACTCAGCTGAATCCGAAGGGAACCATTTCATTTTCAGAATCAGAAATGTGTAAGTACAGCAAACTCACCCTTCACTTGCCAAAGAGAGATCAAATTAAAGAAAAAGGCTAACATTCAATAGTCATTCATTAAATACGTATTGTATAAACAATATCTCACCCTTAGTTCCACATGGGAAAGATAAGGCCTCCTCTCTGTATCATGAGAAAATCGAACTTTTCCCTTTTTCTCTTCTGACTTCATCCATTCCTTATTAACATTGGGATGAATCCACATATCTTCCATGTCTTCTTTCGAAGTTCTGGAGTCCCAAGTTGTATTCAATGGACCTGCTGCCTCATGTATAAACACACAAAATTTATCTTTCAGCACAAAGTATTATCATAGTTACAGAAAATGTACACCAATTAAGTGACAATGAAGTTTTTACATTTCAATACGGTTTCTTAAGCAATGTACTGAGTAACATAATTACTTGGGTATATGATGACAAGCAAGCAGAGCATATTGCCCCTTCGCATACTCTACTCCTCAGCACGCTCAACCTGAATATCTAGTCAGTAAGGAGAAGCATGGGGATGGGTTTCAGAGGAAGGAAGAAAAAGGAAATAGCACGAGTATCTATTTTCTTATTCTTTTTGTCCTAGCAAAGAGAGCGAAGGCTTATTGGTGCAGGTGTCGTGGTTGACCGAGCAAGGTAGAGAAGCAGCTGAGTTAGCAACTGAAAATAGGGGAGTGGGGCGGCGGCGAAGGCGGAAGACGGAAGAACCAAAATGAGGGAGTTTTGAGAGATAGTTTGCCGAGAGAGAGAGTTTGTGAGAGAGATGAGAAGAACCAAAATTTCGCCGGCTTGCAAAATAAAAGTTTTGAAATTTCACTAAGTGTTTTGGCGAAGGAATCTTCGGCCAAAATCAAACAACATCATTTTATGTTTTAATTTTTTTGGTGTATCTCACATTTTTTCAAGTGTCATGATAGGGAATCTAAAAACACGTTATTATTTTTATATCAGATAAAATAAAACAAAATTAAAGTATATATTATTGAATTGATAATAAGTGTCATGATAAAAGTGCTATAATGACAAAAATCAGCAAATATCCTTTTAGGCGTGTCAGGAAAAGCCATTTTTGTTGTAGTGAAGTCTGAACTTGTAGATTATATGATCTATCAGTTGTAAGGAAGAAAATATCGATTATGTTTATGGATCATATTGATATTTGATGGATTTTAGAGTATTGCAACTTTATTAGTTACCTTGTTGTATCTTATGGCAACTCACAAGGTACGGTGGTGTGATCAAAATCTGAATAATTGGGAAACTGATGAACTCACTTCAACTTTAGCCTCATCACACCCATTCTTCTTTATAACTTTATTAGGAGTAAATAAGGCTTCATTTTTAAATGCAATGAATTTATCAATTCCGCAATCAACTATGGATAGAATTATTTAGGAAACTATTTCGGATAGAATTATTTAAGTAGGGCTAGCATTTTCCATGTCAAGTTTTGTTTATTAGGGCTATAATTATATAAATTGTTAAGAGGGCTTTAGTTCGAATTAAAGGATGGCGGTTGTGATGTTTGTTGAGGGCTTGGTCGAATAAAAGATTAGTGGTCATCTGAAAAGGGTAAAAGGTGGAACGCAACAAATGAACCAAAAATTTTGTTGAGTCTATGACTTTTTTTTATTTATTTATTTTTTTTTTTTTTACTCTTTTGCGCAAGGAATTGAATAAATTTGATAAAATTTTGGGATTGAATTCAGAAGCTAATAAGGTGAGGGAGTAGGGATTTTTAAATGTTTTTGTTGAATTTCTTGTCGTAGGGATTTTCAAAAAATTTACACTATTTTCGAGCTTTCACTTGCTCAACTATAACAAAATTAATTTCTATCTACCATGTAATTCAGCTGTAAATTTACTAGAAATAATTTAATCTGTGTGCAGTCATAAAGCCATTAAGTGGGATTTGTGTGCTTCTGAGCGGCGAAAATCTTCTCTTTTTTTTTCATTTCCTTGAAAGCAATCTGCATATTCTGTAAAAGCTTTTAAGCAAACAAGTTGCTTTCTGTTAGTACTAATTGGTGCAGCAGAAAAAAAAAAATTTTTTTGACAGTTATGTGATCTAAAGGCTTTGTAAAGATTCAACCGTGAAACAGACAATTCATAGTTTTCAATCAAGAAATATGATATAACAATATGCTGACAGTCACCTACAGAACTCTTTTGATTGATGCATCCGATCACCTCAGCTTACAAGTATTAAATATCTCTTCAATCTGTTCCTCTCCTCAGCAGAAATTTTCGTTTGATATCTGAATCATTCAACTATCACGAAACTGCAAATCAAGATTTTAATTATTACGTGCCCTTCATTTCCACTTTCATGCTATGAACATAAGCAAAAAATTACCATCATTCAGCAAAGCCAAAAAGATGAGCAGGCAGATCAATCAAAAGTTGAAGAATGATATCCAGGATACATACCTGTCAAATATCGAGATTTGCTTTGTTTATGTAATTAGCACCAAGAAAGCCATCTCTAATGCGATGTAATTTTCTGACTGTCTCCCCCATATGCATGCGATCATTTGGTGATGTTGCTGAACATTCGACCCCAATCTTCAGTATTGAAGTGATGCATTCCATCTTCTTTTCATCATTGTCTAATCCCACTTGTGCAGACTCTTCTTCAATTTCATCTCCTTGTTTTGAAAGAAGTAATATTGGGTCCACAACCTCAAGAACTTGTTCAGGCAAAGCCATTTTAACATAATTATGCAGGTCCAATCCATCCATAAATATATCATCAGTTGGCCTCTTTCCTGTAAACATCTCTAGCAAAAGAATCCCGTAACTGTAAACATCCCCTTGGGTTGATACTTGAAGTCCCATTCCATACTCTGAAATTATTGCAGCAGAAAAGGAATTTTTAACTTACGCCTGTCTTAGATATATGTCTGTGTAGACCGTACACTGAAATTGCAAGCTAAGAATGAAAAGCACATATGGAGAAGTTGTTATAACTTATAAATATTTTAGATAATGAATATCTTTTAAGAAAAGCAAGAATCTTTCTCACTTTAGTCTTGCTAATGTTGTAATGTTGACAATTAGTAAGTTTAGGTGCACATAATTGAGAGCAGGAAAACAAATGTATGGTGTAACCTGTAAAGTGACTGAAGTCCACATGTTGGTTTTTTGTAGGCCTGTCAATCGGGCCTAATGAGCCGGGCTTTGATGTGTTCAAGCTCAGCTCATTTAATTTGAGACATTTTCGGGCTTCGAGCTATGAGCTTCGGGTTCGTAAATGTGAAGCTCATACTCAGCTCACATAATATTCGGGTTGTGAGCCTTAATCGGGCTTAGCCCAAGCTCACTTATTACTCCTGAATTTTCTTAATATAATTACTATAACTATTAAGTTGTAAAACTAATTTAACATTTACAAGACTATAATATTAAAACTAAACATGAACAAATAATAGTTCTTAAAAAGTATATAAACCAAAATTTTTTCAACAATATTTATATGTAATCCGTTTAAAATGCATGAAAAATAGTAATAAAACATGCAATCATAAGCCAATACATCTTTAAAAGTTGAAACTTTTTTTTATAATCTTGTGATTTAAATCCAAATATGCTTGATGATTTTTGTGTTTGTAGACCAAAAAAAAAAATCAACCAATAATATGCCAATACAAAAAGTTACTCAACCAATAAGAAAAATTAGAGATTTAGTTATGCATTACTAATATTGGCTCTCAAGAAAGCTCATGAAAGAGTCTTTAGATGTGTTTTTGTGTTTTGTAATTTATATATATATTTAGTATTTAGCAAAAATATATTTGGATATATAATTATACATAATATCAAAATATAAATATTATATATATGTGTAATTAAAGGGCCGGGCCTATATCGGGTATGAGCCTAATAAGGCCCAAGCTCGACTCACATTTAATTCGGGCCTAATTTTTAGGCTCAAGCTCAGACCGGCTCACTAAATGATCGGGCTCATCGGGCTTTCTGTCGGGCCGAACGAGCCGAGCTCGGGCTGGCCCAGCCCCATTGACAGTCCTAGTTTTTTGAGTAAAAGTTACTATATTTTAGATGCATTAGTAACTTACTACATGACTACTTATTTTACCGTATTTTATACATCACAGATAATGTATATAAGCTACCATATGTACCTGAAGATATGAAGTCGTAGTATTTCACAAACATATAATACTGCAATCCATATGATTTTAGTTACTGAAAATAGGAAAACTTATTACCTGGAGCTACGTATCCCATGGATCCTTTTACTGCTATAGCACTGCTGCTTCCTTGTACTGAAGAACTATCAGTGGTTGAAGCAAGAAGTTTTGCTAGTCCAAAATCACCCACATGAGCAACCAGGTTATTATCCAAAAGGATATTACTTGGTTTCAAATCACAATGAACAATTGGTACCTCACATTGGTAGTGAAGATAATTCAATGCAGAAGCAATATCAATTGCAATATTTAATCTCTCAGGGAGATTTAGATTTCTTGATCCCATCATTTCAGCTGTCTCTGGATGCAACCACAAGTCAAGATTTCCGTTTCCCATAAACTCATAGACCAGAGCTTTGAAGTCAAGACCTTTGGAATCAATGCTGGAGCAGTAGCTTAAGATAGGGAGTAGATTTCGATGGCGGATGTTTCTTAATGCTTCGCACTCTGCCTTGAAGCTTTTGGAAGCCCCATTCTTTTGCAGGTCAAGAACTTTAACAGCAACAAGCCTGTCTCCATGTTCATATAACCTTCCTCTGTAAACAAGTCCAAAACTTCCTGAACCGATTAAGTTATCTGGAGAAAATCCTGATGTTGCACGGTGAAGTTCGTGATAAGAAACTCTTAAGAGCTTGTCAACCATAGAAGGCTTGCTTGATGACCCATGTCTTCTGACTTTTTTATTATATCCAATAACATATGCTAACAAGATCATTGAAATCAGAACCACTGGGGAAAATACAGATATGACTATGATTAGTAAATGCCTGCTTTTCTTCTTTCTTTTGGTGATGCATGGTGGTAACCGTAGTTGAGGAATTCCTCCACAAAGTTTCCTGTTTCCAGCTAATGATATTTGGCTTGCATTCCTGAAAACTCCTTCAGTTGGTACCTCACCGTTAAGATCATTGACAGAAATGTTTAGATATTTCAGAAACATAAGTTTCTCTAGACCTTGAGGTATCGGTCCAGTCAAGTTATTGCTTGAAAGGTCTAATTTTTGGATGCCCTTTAGAGAAGCCAAATGGATTGGAATTGTTCCTTGGAAAAAGTTGCCTTGCATGTAAAGCTCCTCCAAGCTTGAACAATCACCTAGTGTTCCTGGAATTTCTCCATGTAAATTGTTGTAGGAAATGTCAAGTTCATTGAGGCCTTCTAATTTTCCTACTTCAGATGGCAAGGAACCAATCAATGAGTTATGAGACAAGTCTAGACTAATTAGTGAGAAGTATGAGCCAAAGATATGTGCAGATATGCTGCCATTGAAGTTGTTCCAGGAAAGGGAGAGTTGTCCTAGATTTTTGCAATTCTCAAGAAAACGGGTAATATTACCTTCTAAGCTATTTTTGGATAAGTCAACATAGTATAGAGAGGTAATGTTGCAGAGTGTGGATAGTATTTGTCCCGACAACTTACTTTCTGCTAGGTCCAAGGCCTGCAACTTTTGCAATTTAGGAAAATCCCCTGGAATGCCACCTGTAAAGGAGTTCTGCGGCATGCTCAATATGTTTAGATTGACAAGATTTCCAAATCCTATAGGGATAGTTCCTGAGATATTATTATATCCCATATGAAGATAGGTGAGTTGCAATGAGAGATTACCGATGTTCTTTGGTAATTCACCTCCAAAATGGTTCAAAGGGAAGTCAAGTGTATGTAACCTGCTGCAGTTGGTCAAAGATGGGAGAAAACTCAAGTCCCCAGCAGAGCTACTTCCTAGGAGATTCATTGCAAGATTTAACCCCAGAAGATTTGGTAAATCTCCCAGATTAGTCGGTACTTGCCCCTCGAATTTGTTTTGGGACAAATCTAAGAATTGAAGCTTGGAAGCATTGGTAATAGAAGTTGGAATATTGCCATGGAATTGGTTTCCACCGAGTTCCAACTCTTCCAGATTTGGTAAGGCAAGGCCTATGTTGGCTGGTAGCTTTCCCTGGAGCCTATTTTCCACTGCTACAAAGGATGTCAGGGTAGATATGTTAAAAACAGAGGGAGGGATGTGACCAACCAAGTCATTTACCCCGACTATAATCCATGACAAGCTTTTAAGCAAGCCTAACTCCTTTGGCAAATTCCCATTCAAGTGATTGTATGCGAGAGCAAGTTCTGTCATTGAAGATGCATTTCCAAGCGACCGAGGAATCTCACCTGTCAAATTATTTTCATTAAGGTAAATGGCCACAAGCTTCTTCAAAGACCCAAGCTCATTTGGCACCTTTCCTTCCAGCTGGTTTGATATTAAGTCTACGACTCTGAGCTCTGAGCACCAGCTCAAGTTAACCGGAATTTCTCCTTTTAAGTTGTTATTGGACATGTTAAGAAATCTTAGACGGAACAGTAGACCGACTTCTTGGGGAATCCCACCATGAAATTTATTTTCTCCAAGATGGATAGATTTCATGAAGCTAAGATTACCCACATGAGGAGATGTAGTACCAGACAAGCCCATACCTGACAGAGTTAAGGCTGTGACCCTCTGATGTCGCTTATCACATGTGACTCCTTGCCATTGGCATTTGGCAATGGTGCTTGGAATGGTTCCACGAGTTCAGAACTCCATTTGGATCACCAGATATCTGGCTCTTCAACTCTTGCAAAGCAAGTAGATCAGTCATATTTCGAGATATTCCACCTTCTACTGAGGCATGTGGTGACAAATTCACGGCAACGAGCAGCAGCAGCAGCAAAATCTTTGCTGCTGGAAATTGCCACGAAATGGAACTTGGATGCTCCATGTTTCTAACTTCTGTTTGAAGAATGAGCGTTGTATTTGCAGCTGATCTTTTACTCCCATGTCTTGTGATGTGTCATGGACTTGGGTTGACTCAATCAGATAATTGCTCTACAGGCAGTCCGCGCCATGTTGCTTTAATTTCATACCTGTGGCCTCTACATTCCTGGTTGTTGATGACTTGCTTATCTTAGTCTTCTGCCCATAAAACAAGTTCATTTACTCTAGTAAACTCACACTGGATGTGGCCATATAGCATTTGTTTGCTATCAGAGTACCACCCAAAATGCACTCAGAAATCGAGGCCTGGTGGACTGGATGGCAACCTGAATTTGACTTGGGAGTTGTGTGCCAACTTGAAGTACTAAAAACGCACTATGACTCAATGTGCACTACAAATTGTATCCACCTGTTATGATTCGCTTTCAACTCTTTATTGTTTGTATAGTGTTACTTTTTTCCTTTTCTCTTTTATGATCCACAAGGTACTTCCATCAGCTTGGTTATTTGTTTGTCAAAGTTATTTTTTTTTTTTAAGTTTTTTCATTTCCCAATCTCTCTCTCTCCCGTGTATCATTTTGTTCTTGAGATCAACGTTGTGTTAGAAGCATATTGTTAAGAGTATGTTACGCTTTAGTTAGCCCTTGCAGTATAAATACTCTTTTTCACATAATCGTCGTATGGTTTCAAAAGTTATACATAAACTCCTCGTAGTTTCAACTACAAGTCTAACCGACAGATTTTGCCTCCAGTAATGCAGCCAGTTGGAACATCAGAACTAGTATCGATCCAGAACTTGGCCCTGAGTGGAATGACAACAGTTGGAGCACCCCGGTCGGACTTCAGAGGGATTCTAGATTCTTTGTTACCAATCTTCAACCCCAATCTTCAACATTGAAGTGAGGAGTTCCATATTTTTGTCACCATTCTTTAAGATCACTTTTGTAGACCCCTCTTAATTTCATCTCCTCCTCCTAAAAGAAGTCATGGGTCCAAAACCTCGAAAACTTGCTCAAGAAAACTATTTTTACATACTTATGCTGGGTCTAATCCATCCACAAATGTATGATCAGTCGGCCTCTTTCCTGTAAACATCTCTAGCCACAGGATCCCGTAAACATCTATGGGTCGATACTTGAAGGTCGATTCCATGCTCTGAAATTATTGCAATGGCTCTTTCTCAGTGCTTTTTTTTTTTTTTTTTTTTTTGAGTAGACTGTAGACTAAGAAACTTTAATGGAAACTATAGACGAGTGCTCTCATTTGATGTCTAATTTCAAATCCAAAGAAAGCTTCAAGAAAATTTCATCGAAAATTAAGCTAAGAATTGTGTTCTGAGGATCTGTAACTCTGCAGCTCACCAACTCTTTCCTGGAGTTCTGAAAATTACATGTTTCGAATTTTTTTTTTTTCTCTAAGACTTATGCGGAAGATAGTTTTGTTTAAGTTTACATAAATCAGGAAAATATGTTTATGGTGTATAGTATTTTATGGTGCATAGACTCATTTTAAAGCAAGTTTACTCCACACGTAAATTTTCGAGTAGAAAATGTCTAATTATTACACAATCAAAAGGTTAATCAGAATTAAGATGCAATAGCAACTTAGTGGTAGTTATTAGCTGACTACTGATTTCACAGCATTTTCCTTTACACAAATATACTTTACCGTCCATCCAAGCAGAAGTCAGACAAATTCACTGCATTATCCAAATTTAGAAAGGACACTGGACAAATCCTCCAAGTTAGATTACAGGGCAGGCCATAAAGTGAGAAGAGTTTTACAGTCCAACAAAACACAAAAAGAAGTCATTCCTCCAGATTCTACGGTTTGCCCATCACAACCAACAACCTGTGCAGTTTGATTCCATTCAAGATTGGTGATAGTCCTTCCATCAGCTGCAAAACATCCAAAGAAAATCTTTATAGATTTTGCTTTATCCTAGGTTTGACAGTTCGCAACCTCAGGTTATTGTGAGGAACTAAATGCATTGCCAGTGATTGTACTCTTAAACAAATTCCATGCATCCGGTTTTACTTCATCTCTCAAGCACTAACTGCAAACATATGCTATCATATATGCTATTAAGAATTTCAAGTGTTCAGGCAAAATGCACGTCCCAGGATATCTCAGTATTGGGTACTTGATATGCCAATCATACCTGCAGTAAATTGCAATTCCTTTGAAATGAACTCAGCAAGTAGCATAACAACATCTGAAGCGACCAGAGGGAATCCTAATCAGAAATGCAAGTATAATATGTTCTCAGTAATCAGATTCGCTTCAAAAGATGTAGTAAATTGGGGACCAATAAACAAGCAAGGGCTGCTAATTGGGGACCATGCATTTATGAAGAAATCTCTCGGAAGAAGCTCAAGTGATAAACATTGAATACGAAAAAGAAAAATCAGTATGGTCAAATACCTGGGTTCATTATCTGCTCACGGAAGTAGATTCAGAGAAACAAAAACTATGAGTCTGCATGGATCTTCAGTAAGCAAAAAACAGCACCAAACATCATCCAGACAAACGAAGCAAAATCCATAACTGAAGCTATTAAATTCTGCAAAAATATGGCAATGTACAGTGAGTCATTGATCCTGCATAAGTTTGATTCAAGGAAATCCAAATGCATGAAAAAAATGCAACAAAGACATGATACATTGCATCTGATAATAATCCGCTAAATAAAATGTCTAAAGAACTCTGCTTACTTTGCAGGCAGAAACATGCAACGAATAGTTTCCTACTCTATTACTTCCTAGCACCATGAGCAGAAAACATCTACCTTTAGCTATGCTGCTTGCTTATACGAGAATGATGCAGCTAGAAAAGTATTAGTTCAGGCGACTCCTTTTGCCAAGAGAAGTTGGTTTGCTCTTGGAAACGTTGGTATTTGGTGTACATGGCATTATAAGCATGTCAAGAGGAAGGACCTCAATGGGTGGAAATACATGGTCAATGAAGTCTGTGTCCTCGGAAGACACAGCAAGATTTTCTATCATCAGCAATTCGTCAATCTCATTCTCCTGGAACCCAAATGCAAAGCCCAACTTAATTATATGGCACAAGTCCACATGACCCGAGCAATTGGATAAAACGACCTCTGATATTGCTCTGGCATAATCAGTCACCAGTTGAATGTCTTTTTGACCACTGCTCCAACTGGGTGTATGAATAAGCACTCTCTTTGAGTTTCTGTCCCAGAAGACCTTCTTATAGATGCCAACATGCACTCCCGGTCCTGATGAAGGTACTTGTAAAGAATATGTAACCTCCAAGGGCTTATCAGTTCCAAAGATGGGGAGATCAAGGAGAGACTTAGCCTTCCTCAGCCTTGCATCTAATGGCATGTTAATTCGACTTGCCAAAAAGCCCATAACTATTTTGACTAACACTTTCCCAATTATATTGTCCTCAGAGTCCATCTGATGAAAATCGCCATTCACCAAACATTCAACAGATTCTGAAAGTTTTTTAACACCAAGCCTGCAGTAAATCTCAGAGAGTCGGTTTTGAAAATTCAAATCATCTTGGGGAAACCAAATAAATAGTGGCCTCTTGCTAGATTCTTTGAATGACTTTTTAAGCTGCAAGTCATCAGCAATGAAAACTTCTCCTCTGTCCACCAACTGGATTCCCTCCGAGACATCAACTGCAGGAAAAGCATTTATGTTTCTCTCAAGGATCTCCAGAGTAGAGTCATCCCAGTTTCTCAATATGTATCCCCAAAATGATTTCAACTCCATTGAAGTCACTTGGTGATCACCTTCCAACCAAAATTTCCAAAGGTCCATATATTTGTCAAGGGTAGGACACCAAGCGACAGAAAATGCTGAGGACAAAAAGTTTAGCAACTCCATCTCATACAACTTATCAAGAATATGTAACCGATAAGCAAATAAGTTGCAATCATCAGAAATTACGCAATCATGATTATCCACCCATCTACCACCGTCTTTAATATGATGATCAGAGATAATCCGCCACTGATATGTCACAGTATCCAACCACATCCCACAAACATCAACATGATCATCAGGGACCCACAACTGACATGTCACATTATCTTCAGAATTTGGAGTCCAGTGGTACTTATACATGAATTTATAGATTCTCTTCACCTGACAAGTCTGAACTAGAGAAGTAAAATTTTGGAAAAACCAATTGCAAACTTCTTGTGCGCCTGTCTTAACACCAATCATCCTCAGAGCATCCATTTCCACAGAATCAAGATTCCTGTAGAAACTTTGATCCAAGAATGGCCCATCAAGTAACTTTAGATGGCCCTCCCAGTCCAGATCATAAAGAAGAGCTTCCTGGGGCAATCTGTAGCCTAAATGGGTCTTCAACCATCTAGCCGCTCTCAATTTTTTGAGTAGATCTTCGAGTAGAGACTGGTCAGAAGAATTATCACTTTTAAGTGAGGCTACACAATGAAGTAATGACAAGAACATGTCAACTGTAATAAGTGATGGATCTTCCGGTAGCTTCAGCCCATGTACAATGATGGGAATACCATTATTGAAATTGACCACAACACCCAGCATCTTCAGCTCCTCCTTGAAATTGTAGATTTCATCTCCATAAAAAGTCTCATCGATAACAGGAAGGTCCACTAACTGGGAAACAGTTGCCCATTCGCAGTTAAACAAGATAGCATGTGAAGTGTAGCTATAGCCATTGTTAGTTTTCAGCCACATTTCTTCTGACAAGCA